AAAGAATAACGCTAGGGCAATGAGTGGTAGTAGAACAAGAACATTTGCATTCCAGACAAAGAAGATACTTGCTGCGACCAGAGCACAAACCGCCTCCCCATCACAATGACAGTCATCATGGCATATTCAAGCATTAAATAGGTCATTTCAGAAGAAAATTGCAACTCAAAACTACGAAGTTGGAAGATACCAGTCCATCCAACGGCATTAGTGACATCGACATCATTAAAAAGTGCAGGAACAAGGGCTGTAGACCGATTGCGAATTAAGGAACACTTTAAGCTGCGTTGCGTGCTGAGTTGTCAACCTATTTGTTTTCTGGACTTCATGTGGTTAGTTCAATTCTCCCCAACATCCCTATTATTGGGCGGGCGAAAATTACCTGTCTCGGCGATTTCTCGGGCAGAGGATAGTCAGTGAACACAGAATATAGTGGCTGCATTTGGGCGCGACACCGCTACTGGGCACCATCGTTGGGATCGCTAAGTCTACGGGGGGGACAACAGGGACCGCGAAGATTAATAGATCCATGGCGGTGGCTGATGAAAGGCGCGACATGCGAGGCACTATGTTGCATTGGGGGTGAGCAACCTATTCACCTTGCCAAGATCCTTGGTAATAGCCCAACAGTGTCCGATCACGACAGACTCGGATTACCCGAAAATGTGCACATACACACCGATGAGAATACTATGCAGCCATAAAAAGGATGAGTTCGTGTCCTTTGTAGGGACATGGATGCAGCTGGAAACCATCATTCTCAGCAAACTATCGCAAAACAACAGAAAAACCAAACACAACACATTTTCTCACTCATAGAGGATGAACAACGAGATCACTTGGACTCGGGAAGGGGAACATCACACAGCCGGGGCCTGTTACGGGGAGGGATGGGGGGAGGGATGGCATTGGGAGTTATACCTGATGTAAATGATGAGTTGATGGGTGCTGACAGTTGACGGGCAGCACACCAGCATGGCACAAGTATACATATGTAACAAACCTGCACGTTGTGCACATGGACCCTAAGAAGTTAAGTATAATAATAAAAAAAAAAAAAAAAGAAGAAAAAAATTAAAAATGAGCCTGCCCTACAAGAGATCCTGAAGGAAGCACTAAACATGGAAAGGAAGAACCAGTACCAGCCATTGCAAAAACATGCCAAAATGTAAAGACCATCGATGCTAGGAAGAAACTGCATCAACTAACGAGCAAAATAATCCTGCTAATATCATAATGACAGGATCAAGTTCACACATAGTAATATTAACCTTAAATGTAAATGGACTAAATGGTCCAATTAAAAGACACAGAGTGACAAACTGGATAAAGAGTCAAGACCCATCAGTTTGCTGTA